GCGGAACGATGTTGAACACATCGTGTCGGTGATTATTAAATGATAAGATGGTTGGAAGCTTCCTGTGATATGTTTCTATTGATTGTTGCTGGTAATTCGTGTTCTTTTTGTGTCGGGCGACTGTGCTGCGAGATTTTTCGAGGCGTTCCGTTAAAGGATGGATGATCGAGGGTAGCGGTTAGCGTCGACTATTTTGGAAATGTCCTGTGATCGAGCGCGGTGTATGGAAAATAATTAATTATCGTTGAATGGAGGGAGTGTGAGAGTGATTACTGAAACGACGAGTGCGTTGTTACGTTAAATTACTTTTGATGGAATAAAATTGACGTGACGTGGAATGATGTTCCTTTGAATGCTGGATCAATTCACGAATCGGGTGTGAGTGGTTTCGATTAAGCTCGCGACTGTCTATTTTGGAAACATTTTCTTGATTAACTATTAACTATTCGTAAACTAAATTTCTATTCGATGAATAAAATGAAATCTGGAATATCGTATGTGAATGGTTTCATTGGAAAATGTGTAATTATTATCGTAAATGTATTTAATAGAGTTTTCTAGAAATATATAGTAGAGAGAAATCAATTTCCAACAAATTTGTTCGATTAAAAGTAATTCGAAATGTTGGATTCTTTGATGTTCGGGCTTCCCGTTTCCCGCGGGTCATCGATCGAAATTTATGCCGTTGTAAATTTACGATGGTGTCGCGTCACTCAACCGGGCCGCGGCCATATTTAAATTTTTACTGGGGTCCGTTATTCCGTCGCCCATTCGGCTAGTGTGTAAATTTTTTAATTATATGGATTATCCGGCGGGCACAAGAGTGCATTTGTTTTTCCGCGCGCGGAAGCGCCTGGAATCGACGAACAGCCGGCCCGGGCCGGGCGTTAAAACATTAATTTTGTTCACGACTCGGAACAGTGTTAACGCGTCCCGTTAATTATTAACGGGTCTGCTTTCGAACAATCTCTTTACCCGGGGAAATCCGCGGCACGGCGTGATTCAATATCCCACCTGAACGTTCCTTCTTTATTAGGCCAGTAAACAGATCGTGGACGGTTTACTTGCGAACATATCGTTAACGCGTTACGACCCACTTGTAAATATTATCAATTCTGTCGGATCAATTATAATTGCGTCCATCGGCTTGCGTGCGATTATACTCGTTGTAAACTTCTGACAGATTCTCCGATTTTATGAAGAATTTTATTCGGAATCGTGACATCAGGGAATCGGAAAATTAAACTTTATTGCAGGCTTTCGAGACACTTTTTACTTTTATTAAAAACATTTTTTTGGGAGTTTTGAAATTGGAAAATATCCCCAATTTTCAATCACCTCATTGTAGATTTTTGATAAATTTCCTGTTTGCACGGGGAATTTCATGGAGAGTTGTGAAATTTGGACCGAATCAATTTTATTTTTCGTATTGATAGGTACTTTCAGTACTTTCCAAGGGATATAAAAAGACCGAAACTTCGTGAAAGGGAATTTTTGTTTTATTGAATGTTCGGTGAATTTATCTTAATTTCCCCGGGCTGTAAATAATTTCATTTTAAAAAATCGAGATCCTCTTAATACGAAACTCGATGTTATATGTTTGGAAAGCATTTTGTGTAACGTATTTGCAGGAATTTCGTGATTCGCTTTCGATCAAAGCGATAAATGTAGCATTCAGTTGCATTAAGTGGACGTTGCCTGAAGTATAATTGAGAAATCGGATAACGGAACTGGTTTAACTACAGTTGCACAACTTTTTAACTTGGCGAGTGTTCTTAAATTCGCTTTCTGGTCCGAAGAGTTTTAATATTGTTCGGGCTATACGGCTCAGAGGCAGTTTTATCGAGCAATTTTGTAATTTATTCCGTCAATATACATGCAAATGAATAATCTGCAATAATATGTGACCCTTGCGGAACAGCAAACATGTCCTCTGTCAACCTTTAGAAATATTGGCCGACAATGTGTGTATCGGACACAATAGACCGTTTCGCATAGTTAGCCTGTATCGCTGCCTTGTGTTTGGCTTAGTTGATAGAATCAGCGATTGTCTAAAACAAATTTGTCCTTGTCCAATTTTAGCTTAACGAGATTGTAATTCCTCAGAGCTTCGAAAGTAACGATATATGTTAGAAAATTCTCGTAATTGTGCATAAAAAATATCCAACAGAGAACACTGGAGTGCCGTAAGTAGTAACGGTCTTTATATAATCAGACATCTTCACTTCCGAACAACTTACACTGTAATTCATTCTATTACACATTCCCAAGCATAATAATTATACCTGAAGTTATATTTTATTGTTAAATAGAAAATACAAATCATACTAATAATTATATTAATAACAATTACACTTACCAATTGAAATAACGACTTCATCAAATCCATTTTTTCCATACCCCATTACCAATAAAACCTCCAACAGCATCAAAAACGAAACACTTTCACTCTCTTAGTCTCTCAATCTTAAAATAAAACGAATTCAATTCCTCCGCTAAGTTTAACCATTTTTTATTACAACCCCAGCGCGGCGCAATCACGCTTTTTCCTGCAGATCGATTCACCGCGATAACATTCAACGTCTAACCGTTCCGCGAAAGGAAATTTCACGCCCTTTAGCCCGTAACTTCCTCCATAACGGTACCAGCACCGGTTAATGAGAGATCGAAACGTCGCGTTCCCCTCTTTTTTCGTCCATCCCTTCGCGCGCGCACGTTCGCCACGAGAGGCCGAAAATTGGTCGGCGCGTCGAAGGCGCGAATAAAGAGGTGGGCGGAGAATAAAGCACGGGGGTGGGATATCGATATGCGGGCGAGCTAAAACAGAATCGGAATGAGACAGGGGGCCGACGCTTTGAGAGGCCGCCGATCAAAGCACGGCCCGAGAGGCACGGGAAACTCTTTTTTTTTCAACCCTCCTATCGCCGGCTCGTCTCCAGCATCGTTCCCTGCCGGGTTATTGCTGGGACTTGCTAAATCGCTGCACGGAAAACTGCTCGCCCCGTAAAAGCAACCGGGGAGAAGAACCTGGATGAAAATGGTCTCTCATTGATTACATCGGTGTGTTTCGGTAGTCGTGTCTTTAAACGTGGAGACGTACGAATGGGCTTTTAAATGGCACGAGAGACGGAGTAGTATCTTTGCGAATGTGGTTGTTATGAAATATTCGTTTTCATTGGTCTGTTTGATAGTTCTTTTAGGTGGAGTGTTTGGGATGACGGAAATAGAATTGGGGAGATTTTTATGGGAACTGGGAAGGGTAATGGAACTTCTTAAGAAAGGTGATATTAAGTTTGAAACTGTATTGTGTTTGTAGTCGAGATATTTTGCTTTGAGATATTCGATAGGGGAAAGTTATATTTAGTCTAGATTAATAGTAATTATTAGGTTATATAAGTACTGTTCTGTTTCGAAAGTTAATTTCGATATAATACAGCTCATCGTAATTATCATATGTTTATTACACCTAAGCATTAAACATTCGAGAAATTCACAAGTCTAGCAATAGCAATATCCACCGCAAATCGCACCAATCAAATCGTTAATATTCTCCGTTTAATCGGTACATCAGAATCCTGCATTAGCGAAAATATGGGGCAAGCACACCGCAGATCGCGGTAGCGTTCCTCGGGATCCTGTTCCTGTTTCGTAAGTCGCGTCAGAATCGTCCCTTTGTCGTCAGCGTCCGTGACAGGACGCGTTGTTGATTATCGGTCGCACACTGACCCGGCTATCGGATAATTATTTACGTCTCTGGAGATAGCAGAGTTCACGGAGTGTCGCTTTGATACGGCGGAATTAATTATTAATTACATTGATCGTGTGTGACGCGGCGGCTCGTTAGTACACGGCCGGCG